TGCCGTGGGAAGGGGCTCCCCTCCCCGCCCGCGCTCCCTCAGCTTGCCGAGCCCATTAGTCAATGCAAGGCATTTTTTTGCCGTTCTTTGTTTCAGACCCACGGAATGGCTCTCTAACTTACGTATTTTTCTTGATTTTTCTTTACTTTTTGCTGCTCCGGGTTTGTGAAGCACGTTCTTAGCTTCATTTAAGCAAGGGCACCCCTTTCCTGTTTACGGCTTTGAGATGGTCTCTTGCCCGTATACCTCAGTGCATTCACCGCTGCCCGCGATGGCATCAGTAAATTGCACAACTGCCCCCTTCCAGAGCCCGCTGGGGCGCTATTCACGGAGCGGAGCACGGCTCTCCCGTCAAGTCATTTCTGTGCAGGCTTTCAAGCGCTCGCAGTTCAATCCAATCGAGCCCCTTTCCCTTTCTAAATCTCTGCTGCTGTATCACGAGGCGCGGTTCCTACTGAAGGAAAAGCTCGGCTAGAACTTAGACTGCCCGGGAGCTCCGAGGTCCTTCGCGCGGGACGGAGCCCGGTAACGCAGCCCTTGCCCACTGCAGGGGCTGAGCTTTTCTTGTCTTTCCCTGGCTTTACCTAATGGAGCGTGCCTAACCGTCCTTTAAATGTATCGTATCAGCTGAGCGCAACCCATTCCCGCGTGAATGCCTTTGTGACTCAGAGATGCGACTGAACCAGCCGATGACCTTAAGCCCTGTAGCGTTTGTCGTGCGTTGTTTCCCTGCCTTCTCTCTAACTCTGGGCTACCAGCGCCCCGCTGAAGGTCGTCAGCAACCTCGCCAACACCGACGTCAACTATGTCATCAAAGAGCATTATAATTACACGGGAAAGCTAAATGAGAATGCGGACAGTGGAATAAAAGTGACTTCGGTGGTTTTTATCATCATTTGCTGCTTTATAATCTTGGAGAACATTTTTGTCTTGCTCACCATCTGGAAAACCAAGAAGTTTCACAGACCCATGTACTATTTCATTGGGAACTTGGCTCTTTCAGACTTGCTGGCTGGCGTGGCTTACACGGCCAACCTCCTGCTCTCTGGACACAAAACCTACAGCCTCACCCCCTCCCAGTGGTTTGTAAGAGAAGGCAGCATGTTTGTTGCCTTGTCAGCCTCTGTGTTCAGCTTGTTGGCCATCGCCATCGAGCGATACATCACCATGCTGAAGATGAAACTCCACAACTGGCTCTTTCAGACTTGCTGGCTGGCGTGGCTTACACGGCCAACCTCCTGCTCTCTGGACACAAAACCTACAGCCTCACCCCCTCCCAGTGGTTTGTAAGAGAAGGCAGCATGTTTGTTGCCTTGTCAGCCTCTGTGTTCAGCTTGTTGGCCATCGCCATCGAGCGATACATCACCATGCTGAAGATGAAACTCCACAACGGCAAACTGCATCAGCCTCTTGTCCAACTGCTCCACCGTGCTGCCCCTCTACCACAAGCACTATATTCTCTTTTGCACCACCGTCTTCACTGGCCTTTTGCTATCGATTGTCGTCCTCTATTGCAGGATCTACTCCATGGTGAGGACTAGGAGCCGCAGGCTGACATTTCGGAAAAACATTACCAAAGCTACCAGGAGCTCGGAAAAGTCGCTAGCCTTGCTCAAGACAGTGATCATAGTCCTGAGTGCCTTCATTGCCTGCTGGGCTCCCTTGTTCATCCTGCTTTTACTGGATGTGGGGTGTAAAGTGAAGACCTGCCCCATCCTCTATAAAGCCGAGTATTTCTTAGTACTGGCCGTGCTCAATTCAGCCACGAACCCTATCATCTACACCTTGACGAACAAAGAGATGCGGAGGGCTTTCATCAAGATTCTGTGCTGCTGCAAATGTCCCCCGGCAGAGTCTGGGACCAAATTCAAGAGGCCGATCATCGGAGGGATGGAGTTCAGCCGGAGTAAGTCTGACAACTCCTCCCATCCCCAGAAGGAGGAAGGCGACCGGCCTGAAACCATCATGTCTTCGGGCAACGTTACCTCATCTTCTTAGGAGTAACCATGGGGGTGTATTTCAGAGCCTTCCTCTGAAATCGGGGAGCCGAGGCGCCTCCTGCTCACGGCGGCAGCGCTGGGCTAAGTGAGCAGGTAGCATTAGTTCTAACGAGGCAAGCGGTGCACTCGCGAGGCCGGAGTTCAAGAAATGGGACAGACTGTTCTGGCTTGAAAATCCTTTTCCCGGGAGCGTGTTTTGTCTTTGCACTGAGGCAGCTCAGGATTGTCAGGCGCATTCATATCCCGAAATCTCCTTAGTAACTCTGAAAGACTGATGCCTTGGTGAAATGATGCCTGGTGTGTGAGAGAGAAAGAGGGGGGGGGGGGGGGGGGGGGGGGAGAGTCCCCCTTCCCTGTGAGAAGAATGTGAAGTTATTTCTCCTTTACTTGCAGCAAACGGCTGACACAAAGATCTTTCTGTACTGAGTTTAGTGGTGGCTCTGGTACAGTCGGTCAGAAGCGTTTGTTTAGCACCTAACAAGGAAAGAGATCACACAAATACAACTTTGACCACGTACAACCATTAATTTGGCATCACTTGCCAGAGTTGGAAGTTAAGTCATGAGGTTTTGTTTGCAGAGTCCAAAGCTGTCGGGGTTTTATTTTAGCAAGTTCATAGCCGTGAATTTGTGCTGTCAGTCCACGTTACGTTTGAAGCCCACGAGCCAGACTCTGCCATAACTTTCGCCCGTGCAATTCCGTTGACTGCGTCAGATTTTACGGAGTAGCTCAGAGCAGCATTTGGCCCCAGGCGCTGATTGCCTTGTGATTCTGTAGCATTAAACAAACCGCATTATCACGACAAACGCAAGGTAGAACTAAAGGTCATTTCTCTTTAAGATGACTGAAGGTAAATCTAATCGTGTGAGATGCGATTGACAACAGCCGGGTTTTTGCCTGTGGAGGAAGAGTTAAAAACTAAAGGGGCATTTCAGTGTCAGCTTCACGGTCTTTCCAAAGGTCAAGATCGGTCAGAAAATCTGAAAAGAATACCTTGAGTTTCAGAAAAAGGAAAGTTGAAGTGAAATGACTATAGAAATAAAGTGCACTTCCGTAACAAAATGCAATACGTTTTGGCACATGTTATTAATGTTTATCATTTCAGCAAACGTGTCTGTATTTTATCAGTTCGTGGAAGAAGTACCTGTCATTAAATTGAATGTATTTGTTTTACAGCATCATTTTATTTTTCTAACCTGTGCTAATGGGGTTGAATGTGTACCATGTAAATAAGTTAATAAGATGCGGGAGCCTTCACGCTCCTAGAGTATTACTGTAACAAAAGTGGTATATCTGGGGTAGCTGCGAGCGATCGACTGATTTACAGGTATTGGCAATTCCTAGAAGTGGTATTTTGTAAAGAAAATTTATTGCCTTTGTAGTAAAATTTCCAGTGCAATTAAACTGATTTTTTTTTTTTCTGGTTTAAAAAAATAGTATTTAAAACGTTTCTGACTTTTATTGTTCAATTTGCACATAGCTTTATTGACTTCTAAACATTAATAAACTGATTTTTTGTAAAGATTCTGTTACCCGATTACTAGCAGTTTTGTACTATAGGGGGGGGTTTCACGCCAGGTGTGGTTTCTTCTTGAGAGAAGTCGGTGAAAGAATTCCTTGATTTCAGTACGTGCTGGGATTAAGCCAATTCTGCGGGGACATAGGGTGCGTAACACCGCTTACGGGATCACATAAAATACAAAATAAATGCTAGGGTGTGATTTGTCATCAGCACACGCTGTATCGATGAAGTGCCGTTAGAACAATCTCTACAATAGCGGGTTTTCTCCCAACAGCTAATGAAGTACAAACGGAAGGAAAAGACCCGATGCCTGCCAGCTCTGCCGTGACTGCCTGGAGTAGAATAAGTGAAATAACTCACTTCTATCATAATAATGATAATTTCTAAGTTTAATTCTTGGCTTATTGGAAACATGAAGGAAGGTTACAAACTGTAGCGTGGTGGCCTCAGCTGCATAACTGCGGCAGCTCCATTGGGCCCGCCCGCACGGGCCGTGGCAGCGCAGTTCAATAGGTACGCGCGTCTCCTCTTCCAAAGGCTTGACTTCCATTTCCTCTCTTGCGGCCGTTCCCTCTCGGTATTACTTTTAAGTTCCACAGAGTTGGTACAGGATGCAGTTGGAGTGTGAAGATAAACCTCACCTTCTCGTACTGTATGTCGTCGCTGTGCAAGGTTTACTGTGGGAAACGAGAGCCTACTCGCCGAGGAAGGCTCTGGGTCACAACCTAACTTCCTGAAGGAAATTCCGAAAATGCCCCAAAGACAAAAGAGTGGAAACAGGCTGGAATTTCTCTCCATCTGTCTGCCTGTACGGAAGGAATGATTTCATGTGTGCTCACTTCCTAGGCTTTTAATTAGTGACCTGAGCAGGGCTGGAAAAAATGTCAAATCTGTATTTGCGCACAAGATAAAGTCTCTCTTGGCTCAGGCCGTCGTTTGGGCAGGGATGGTTTACGCCAGGTGCTGACAGTCGTGAGGGAAAGCGCTTTGTCCCCCGGATAAAGGCACCACTGTGCAGAGCACCCGAAGTACCCAAACCATGAGCGTCCAAGCTGAGCCCTCGACGTGCTACCAGTGGGGCAGAAAGGCGATGTATGGGGATGAGGTGATGTATGGGGATGAGGCGATGTATGGGGATGAGGCGATGTACGGGGACGAGGTGATGTATGGGGACGAGGTGATGTATGGGGACGAGGCAATGTACAGGGATGATGCAATGTCTGGGGATGAGGCGATGTACAGCGACGAGGCGATGTACGGGGACGTCTGAGTTTGTAGGGATGTTTCTGTCTGAAGGACGAGGCCCCTTCTGTTCCTGAGGCCTTACAGGCATTAAGGTTGTTGGTCCCACACGGGTCTGCGATGCTGTGAGAAGGGCCGAGCCATGTCACAGCATGGCTGTGTCACCGGCCCCTCCTGACTACCACTGGCCTTTGCCTGTCCGTAGCTGATGGCCCACAGGTGAGTCACTTCCCTTCGCTTTTCCCTCGTTTCTGTATCCCTCGCTTATCTAGCTCGTCTAATCGCGCTGCGGGCCTTTGCGGAAAATGACCATTTCCCCCCTGGAGGTGACTGTGTGGTGGGAGCCCAGTTTTGGGAGGGAACTCAAAGCCCTACGCAATTCACGCAGTAAAAGAAATGCAAACGGCGTGTGGCACTGGGCCATGGGAAGCATTTCCTATGCGCTTGATCAAGATGACTGAAATCTGTTTCCTCCACAGACAGGCCACGTCTATGCATGTAGACAAGATTCAGACGGGGAACAATAACTGTAATAAAACAATAATAAAAGTAAGGGCTCCTGCTGGGAAAAAAAAAATGAGAAAGACGGGCCACTTACTTGTGCTGCTCACCACTTCTTGTGGGGGAACGCTGCGGCTCCTTGGCCACGGACGTGCATTACCGTACGGCAGCAGGTCAGGCCAGATGTGTAGCGCAGAGTTTTGCAGGGTGCCACGCAGAAAGCACCCTTCCCTTCCCTTCCCTGGGCTGCCTTCTGTACGCACCGGGAGGGCTGCAGCTTTGTCCCCTTGTTGGCCAGGTGACAAACGGGCAGAGAAAATCAGGAGGAAAAAAAAAGACAATGAGAAACAAGAAAACCGAAAATGTGCGTTATACCAAGTGTCTATGTGAAATAAAATATCCTGAATTATCCGGAGTAACCCGGCCCTTTGATTTATATTCTTTTTTCTCTCACAGCATAAGGAATAGAACAGGGGTGGAAAATGATCATCAAATCTGGCAGCCAGCATACCGTAGGGACAGCTCAGCAGGAGCGACCCGTGGGCTTGCTGTACAATGTGTGCAGCTGGGACCGAACCTAGGGGACATCAAAACATAAAAATACTGTCAGCCATCCTTTCCTTACTTTGTCAACTAAGAAATACAGGGATTGCCCAACTGTAACATTTCCGTATTTCTAATCTGGCCTGGAGGATCTCAATACTGATTGCGTTTTGTACGGGCTGAGGCATTATCAGATGTTGTAAAAAGGGTCAGGCTGACAAAGCATCCAAAAATGTGGATATGTAGACCAGAGCTATGTAACCTACTCAGCACTGAAATGCTGGAAATTCCCCAAGGATAGGCTTTGTCATTTATGGGATTCTAAAATGCCCCAGGAAAACATCTATTGTATTTCAGTAATTCCCCATACTGTCTTTCTTGGAAAACAAAATGAATCCAACTACAACTGAACCTTGAAGGATTTAAGAAACAAACAAAACCAACCAAACAAAATCCATCTAAATTCAGTTCCCATAATCTGCTTTCACAAACTTTTCTAATCCCATCTTTGCATTTACAGATGGAAAGAGTTTGCTCATCCTCTGTCGTCTGATTTATTCTGATAGAACCTTACTCCTTTTTACACAGTCTGCAAGGATCACAACAGATCAAGAAATCGCCCTTCAATTATTACGCTCTGCACAGGATTTTCTATGATAATTAATAGTAATCAAATTCACTCTGGACACAGGAGCAGATATAAGAACGTGTGGTACAGCTCACTTGTTCCAGTACAAGTTTTCTGCTGAAATAAGAAGTGCCTAGAGAGATCTGAAACTCAAGCATCTAATCTAAATTAAGATATAAAAAACCCAAACTGTTTTGGGGGGAAGTTGGGGACATAATTACTGTAGACTTAGGTGATCCGCTGAAGAGAATTACAACATTAAGGACCCTCTCCCCGGCAGGACAGGGTGACGCGCTCCTTGTGTCTCCCCTGCTCATCCACAAATTCTGAGAGATGCTGTGCTGAAGCGGCAGTTTCCAAACAAGCCCCCCCCCCCAGCATAGCTCTGCACGGCCCGATTTCTTTACCCTACCCAAAAACCTTATT